CTCAGGCTTAGTAGTTGGAGCACATAGGCTTAGTTGTTCTGTGGCATGCGGGATCTTAGTTTCCCAGACACTGATAGAATCCGCGTCCCCTGCGCGCAAGGCGATTATTAATCTCTGGACCACCAGGGAAGTCCCCTGAACAGAAAGTCTTGATTGTAGCTGCAAGATAGAGTATAAAGAGGTGACACTTGAGATTGTCAGAAATGGTAGCGCAAAGGACAGAGTTTCTAACATACTTTCTGTTAAAGTAGAGCCTTAAAAACATTGTCAAAAGTATGTGAAACAAGACAGAGAAGATTCATTATATTAATTAAAGCTACTCTCCTAGTAAATGGAAAACTCAAAATATAAATATGAAAGCTGATAAGAAAAGTGGTGGTAAAAGTTAAACATAACTTTTAGATATAAATCAGGATATAACCATGTGCTCTCCGAATTTGATTTATCAGTAAGGAACTACTAAGTATATTTTCAAGAGTTATGCAGGTAATTATTAGAACTAAAATAAGAACGATGTCAAATAATTTACCTCATAGGAGTGGGGAAAGATAGGAAAGGTAGAGTTGTGAGGACACAGCCTTTTTCTTCCCATAAAATCCTTTGTGAAATTTTATTTTTTACCACATACATATTTTACTTTGGTGAAAATTCATTTTAAACATACATCTATATGTTATATATACCTTTAAAATTAATTTATATGTCTCTCAAAAGTGTTCTATATCAGAGCAGCTTATTTAACTAGACCAATTATTCAATATATAAAGAATTTAAAAATGATAAACTAAGAGAAAGTGTCTTCCTAGCTGATGTATGTTCTGCTTTTTTATTCAATAACAGTTACAAATTTGAAAGTATATTTAAATCAAACATATATGAATTATAAACCAAGATACAGGGGTTATGGTTTTTTTTTCTGTTTATGCATGATTTTTTGTAAGAATAGAATTTGGATAAATGGTGACAACAAATGCTGAGTCTGCAGGAAACAGGATTTATAACAATTTACTTTTATCTCAGTGTTTTCTTTGTTCATTTATAAATCGGTAGCAAATGTCATTTTTGTCTTAGTAATAAATATGTATTCTGCAATTTATCACTGCAAGTCTAAACATTCAAAAGTACAATTAGTGTTATATAGTTGCCAACAGAATTTTAAATACTAGCTCAAATATTTGATAACAGTTCTTAAAGTCTTGGTTTTCATGCAGGTTGGATATTTATATATTATGGATCCAAAACTGAAGGAAAAATAAAACATATCTAAATGTGTGTCTAGATAGAAATTTTCACATGGGTGCTTAGATAACAATTTTTTAAATACATTCAATTGCACTCTATTAATTAGATCAAGAAAAATACTCCATAAATAAACTTTTATTAAATTCCAAATAATCAAAATGAAAGTGCAGTTAGATTATATACATGTATATGTATGTATATGTAAGGAATAAATAATTGTATGAGTCATATTGAAAAGCAGTGACATTACTTTGCTTAAAGAGGTCCATATAGTCAAAGCTGTGGTTTTTCCAGTGGCCATGTATGGACATGAGAATTGGACCGTAAAGAAGGATGAGCGTCAAACAATTGATGCTTTTGAACTGTCATGTTGGAGAAGACTCTTGAGAGTCCCTTGGACTGCAAGGAGATCCAACCCATCCATCCTAAAGGAAATCAATCCTGAATATTCATTGGAAGGAGTAATGCTGAAGCTGAAGCTTCAATACTTTGGCCACCTGATGCGAAGACCTGACTCTCTGGAAAAGACCCTGATGCTGAGAAAGATTGAGGACAAGAAGAGAAGGGGATGCCAGAGGATGAGATGGTTAGACGGCATCACCAACTCAATGGACATGAGTTTCACCAAGCTCTGGGAGATGGTGAAGGACAGGGAAGTCTGGCGTGCTGCATCACAAAGAGTCAGACACACCTGAGCGATTGAAGAACAGCAACAACAGTCATAAAGTTACATCGCAACTGTGGATCACTTCAGAGCATACTTTCCTTCCTAGCAAAATAAATGCGAACCTTTTTTTGTCACACATCCAGCCAGATTCAGTACAGTTTCAAACAACATATCCTGCATTTTAAAATTTCTAAAGAGAGAATAAAGTATCATTAGGTGCAAGTTTCTTTTTTACCTCCACTTAACCAGTTCTCATGATTTTTAGAAATTTTCAAGGTAGTATCATATTAATCTCAATTTCTGAATAGCAGCATAAAGAAGACTATCAACTCTTAAGTTAATTATCTGAAGTATATATAAGGTAAATTCGATCTATAATAATACACTCCCCAAAGTACTACCTCAATCATTTATCCAATTTTTAAATTAACACAATGTAAGCAACAACTAAAACCTTGGAGTAAAACTTATTTGAGGGTATGTACACAGTTGATGTCCATAGCTGTTTACATAGCAATGTGTCTGAATGCAGGAGTGAATTACTGAATTACTATAAAAAAATTAATGAATTACTATGTGAATACTGTATCCTGTGGTAAATTCTTTGGCTAAAAGATTGCATTTAAAGGGAAAGAAATAGTTCTTCAATTATTTTAAGGATCACTTAGATCATATGTATTGGAGAAATATTTCATAATCAAAAATGGACATTATTTTTTGTGTCCTTATTTGTATAAGATTTTATATTCTAAATCATACAAGATTTAGAAACATCTTTTTCTAAAATTTTCAACTTGCTACTCAGTAATATCCTTATTTCCAAACTCAGGGTTGTTTATATAATCTTAGTTTTTTATTTTTTTTTCCAGTTTAAATGAATAGAAGTGTTATTGCTAATAGATACAGTTGTAAGCCTCTTTAAGGTAATGGGTATTTATATGATGAATATGAAGACTAAGAATTTTCTATTTAATCACTGCTAAAATTAGCTTGTGTACCAACTGTCACTAAATAACAGCCACAGAAGCATTGTTACAGAAGACGTACAAATGGACAAGGAAACTTAGTACACTTTGAATATACTGAGACTTTTCTTACTGACAATTCACATGTCAAGTTTTTTTTCAAAAATATATTCAAATAACTTGTGATATTCTGATTCACTGTATCGTCGTCCAAAACTGAATCGAGATAGGCAGGTGTGAGCTTCATATTCCTAGAATAACAGCAGGGACAGGTAAAAAGGTTGCAGTTTTGCAGCAGTGTATGTGTACATGCTCAGTCATATTCAATTCTTTGCAACCCCAAAGACTGTAATCTGCCAGACTCCTCTGTCCATGGAATTTTCCAGGCAAGAATACTGAAGTGGGTTGCCATTTCTTACTCCAGGAGATCTTCCTGACCCAGGAGATTGAACCTGTTCCTTGTCTCCTGTATCTCTTGCGTTGGCAGGTGGATTCCTTACCACTGTACCACCTGGGAAGCCCCATCGTAAGCAATAACTCCACACAAAATACACCTTCATGAGTAAATACCATGGTCTACCTTTCCAGCAAATATTTAAGTAAAATATCTTCACCTACTTGTCCAGCTATTTCATGTCTGTCTTCTTAAGATGTCGCATCTTAACAAGAACTTCCAATGAACTATTCTAAGGCACTTGAAATTTATCTTACAAAAAGATACATGTTAGGTATTTGGCTAGCCTTTATCTCAGGAACAGTTCATCAGGATAATAGCTTCAAAAGAAGTTTATTGTTATCGTGAAGTGAGCAGTTAAAACATGTAAATGCAGAATGTTAGATACAATATCCTCTCTTCTCATAATTAGTACAAAAGGAGTACACTCTATTAAAAAAAGAAAGAAAGAAAGAAAAAGTATAACTAAAGGCAGGGAACAATTTGTCCAGCCTGAAAGCAGCTGGCATACTAAAAATTGTAAAAAGCTCCAGCTGGCAGCTCATATTTCAACCAACTAGCCAACTCTTCACATGGGAAAAGTGCTATATGATTTTATGTAAGGAAGAAACAAAACAGATATTTGTGAATAAATATTGGTTTGACAGGAAGTCAGACAAACTACATTTTTAACTCAGACATGTACTTAAGCACAAGGTGTCAAACAGAATTTCTGTATAAAGAGAAAGAAATGGAGAGAAAATCTGCATTAGAGTGAAACTAAAACAGATGGTGTAATTGGTCCTTTGTTAGTTTTAAAATTTTTAAATAAAAATATCCTGAATTGCAGTTAAAAATAAAAAAAGTCTTCTATCAGAGAAACAAAACACTTCCAACATAACACCTACAACTTCTGGAAATTTGTTTTTTTTTTACTTCCATTTCTAATTCCCTCAAAAACATATTTCTGACTCAGTGTACTCAACCCAAGCAAAACTCATATAAATAAACTATTTTAAACATAGAAGCCTCAGAAATCTGATAAATATTTTTGGTTCTAGAATGAGTCCTTGTAAATGCAGAATATACAACTACATCTTGGTGGGAAGTGAAGCATTTTTTAAATGATGCCTCCTTTTTTAAAAACACTTTAAAAAACTGTCTTAGAGATAAGGTCCATTCTCCAGAAGGCCCTCTAAAGTACAAATATATTACATTAGCTCTATAAGCTTTTAATACCCTAACTTATTTATGTATCACGCTAGCTAGCTATGTACTCAAAATTCATATATATTTTTTATTGAAGGAATTAGTCACCTAAAAGGTAATTTTGGATGTAGTGAATAACAATTTAAATACATCATAGAAATATCAGCTGGTTGAGAACAAAGTCAAATCGCTTTAGGGATAGAATTTGTAGGGGGAAGTATTTGTATGGAATGAAGTATGAATGCTAAATACTTGGGTGTGTATTAGGCTTCTCAGTGATCTATCTTTCATCATACTGTCCCTTGCATGATGACTTTTGTTAACATATTTTTCACTGTGGTTATAAGTTGGCAATTTCAGTTTGAGATATGCCTTCTATATTCAGAGCAAAAAGAAAGAGGAAGGGGCAGCACTTAGGAATATGTGTTTCTTTTTACCAGCCCTAAATCTTTTCAAAAATAATCCCTTTATATTTCATTTTCCAGAATTGTTTCATAAATCTCCCATGCCTACAAGGGAACCTGAGATAGAGAATATTAATCTCCACAGTCTCTATAGGAGAAGAAAAAGGTAAGTAGGGAATCAGGAAAAGATTATGATGAGCTGCCATCCACTGGAAAACATAAACATAAGAATGATTCTAAATGAAACATCCAAAGCTTAATTTTCCCTTTTCCAGGTATTGCCCTGTCAACTGAGCAGAGAAATTTCGCAGTTCACCAAATTCATCGATGCCTTAGATAGTTTCTCATCTGAACGTTTTAAAAAAGAAACTGATCTCTCCAAGTTGACAAAGTTAGGAATGTGGAATTCCGAACAACTAACTACCAGTTCTATTGTTCCAACATGTGGCCTTGTATCTCAAAGAAACATAAGTGAGGAAGATATTTCAGTGGACATGAGAATGCCCCTCATGGTCCTGTGCATATGGGGAGCGCAGGTTGATCTAACAAGTGACTAAGTGCAGCGAACTGTGTGAGGCATGCCCATTACTGAGAGGTCATGAATGAAGTTGGTTCATGGCCTCCAGAAGGCACTGGAGGGGCCTCAAATTTCCTCAAATTTATAGCAAAGGAGAATGCCTCCAATCAATCTCTTTGTTCCCCCCCCCCCCTTTTCAGTTCAGTTCAGTTACTCAGTCATCTCCGAATCTTTGCAACTCCAGGACTGAAGCATGTCAGGCCTCCCTGTCCATCACCAACTCCCGGAGCTTATTCAGACTCACATCCATTGAGTCGGTGATGCCATCTGTCATCTCATCCTCTGTTGTCCCCTTCTCCTGCCTTTATCTTTCTCAGCATGAGGGTCTTTTCAAATGAGTCAGTTCTTTGCATCAGGTAGCCAAAGTTTTGGAGTTTCACCTTAAACATCAGTCCTTCCAATGAATATTCAGGACTGATTTCCTTTAGGAGTAACTGGTTTGATATCCTTGTAGTCCAAGGGACTCTCAAGAATCTTCTCCAGCATGACACTTCAAAAACCCCAATTCTTCATCATTCAACTTTCCTTAAAGCTCAACATTCACATCCACATATGACTACTGGAAAAAACCATAGCCTTGACTAGATGGACCTTTGTCAGCAAAGTGATGTCTTTGCTTTTAGAGATGCTGTCTAGGTTTGTCATAGCTTTCCTTCCAAGGAGCAAGCATCTTTTAGTTTCGTGGCTGCAGTGTAAACATTCACAGTGATTTTGGAGCCTCCCCCAAACCACACACACACACAAAAAAAAAATCTGTCATTGTTTCCAAATTTTTCCCCTTCTATTTGCCATGAAGTGATGGTACTGGAGGCCATGATCTTAGATTTCTGAATGGTGAATTTCAAGCCAGCTTTTTCACTCTCCTCTTTCACCTTCATCAAGAGGTTCTTTAGTTCCTCTTCACTTTGTGCCATTAGAGTGGTTCAGCTCAGTTCAGTCACTTAGTCGTGTCTAACTCTTTGAGACTGCCATGGACTGCAGCATGCCAGGCTTCTTTGTCCATCACCAACTTCTGGTGCTTACTCAAACTCATGTCCATCGAATCAGTGATGCCATCCAGCCATCTCATCTTCTGTCATCCCCTTCTCCTCCCCCACTTCAATCTCACCCAGCATCAAGGTCTTTTCCAATGAGTCAGTTCTTTGCATCAGGTAGCCAAAGTATTTGAGTTTCAGTTTCAACATCAGTCCTTCCAATGAATATTGAAGACTGATTTCCTTTAGGATGGACTGGTTGGAACTCCTTACTGTCCAATGGACTCTCAAGGGTCTTCTCCAACACCACAGTTCAATAGATTCAGTTGTTTGGCTCTCAGCTTTCTTTATAGTCCAGCTCTCTCATCCATACATTACTACTGGAAAAACCATAGCTTTGACTAGATGGATCTTTGTTGACAAAGCAATGCCTGCTTTTTAACATAGTGTCTAGCTTGGTCATAACTTTTCTTCCCAGGAGCAAGCATCTTTCAATTTCATGGCTGCAATAACCATCTGCAGTGATTTTGGAGCCCCCCAAAATAAAGTCTGTCACTGTTTCCACTGTTTCCACATCTATTTGCCATGACATGCTGGGACCAGANGCACAAAGTGAAGAGGAACTAAAGAACCTCTTGATGAAGGTGAAAGAGGAGAGTGAAAAAGCTGGCTTGAAATTCACCATTCAGAAATCTAAGATCATGGCCTCCAGTACCATTACTTCATGGTAAATAGAAGGGGAAAAATTTGGAAACAATGACAGATTTTTTTGGACATGGACCTCCAAAATCACTGTGAATGTTTACACTGCAGCCATGAAACTAAAAGATGCTTGCTTCCTGGAAGGAAAGCTATGACAAACCTAGACAGCATCTCTAAAAGCAAAGACATCACTTTGCTGACAAACGTCCATCTAGTCAAGGCTATGGTTTTTCCAGTAGTCATGTGTGGAAGTAAGTGTTGGACCTTAAGGAAAGTTGAGTGATGAAGAATTGGGGTTTTTGAACTGTGGTGCTGGAGAAGATTTTTGAGAGTCCCTTGGACAGCTAGGACATCAAAACCAGTCATTCCTAAAGGAAATCAGTCCTGAATATTCATTGGAAGGACTGATGCTGAAGCTGAAGCACTAGTACTTTGGCCCCTGATGCAAAGAACTGACTCATTTGAAAAGACCTTCATGCTGGGAAAGATTGAAGGCAGAAGAAAAAGTGGATTACATAGGATGAGATGGTTATATAGCATAGTGACTCATGGACACAAATTTGAGCAATCTCTGTGATATAGTTAATGTCAGGGTGTCTGGTGTATTGCAGTCCTTGGGGTCGCAAAGAGTCGGACACAACTTAGCAACAGAACAACAACAGCAACAAAAACACAAAAAATTTAGTTAGACTTCTATGAAGAAATCCTTTTAACTTCTTGCTTTAATAAAATTTTTGGCCCTACTTTTACAAGGAACAAAGTGGTATGTGTTACTTCTAAGTGAGTATTTCAAAGCTGATGCTTATCTCCATGGACTTTTCTTTCTTAGTCACCATGAAAGCATGTTTTGAAAGCAGTACCCTGCAGAGTCACAAAAACCAGTAGCAGGCTATGCAGAAGTAAGTGATCAACTTTTGTTATATTAAGTGAGCAAGGTGTTGGGGTTGTTTATAACCTAGACTCCCCTAACTTATACCAGGTCACTGAATTTAAAAAAAGCATTTTATCCTTCCTCCTACCTTAAATTTGACTATAATATTCATCCCATATTATAGAACTTTTTTTATATTAGTTAGATACTTTAGTTGGCTTTCTTATTTTTTTCCTTTCACCTCTCTCTTAACGTTTTAGGAAATAAAACCAATTTGCTTATAAACACAGTCAGATCAAATCCCGTCTTACTGTTTCTCCATGATTTTCTAGCCTTATCACATACAGCAATTACAAATATCTCTAGGATATATAGAGAACACATTTTGGTGTATTTCCATCCACTTATGCTAAAGTTACAGTAGCAATATGCCACCAAACATTTGTAATGAATATGTCCAAGTTATAATCTTTTTATGATGAAAGAGCAAGGATAGAGGTAAATTAGGTAAAGAAAGAGAAAGGTGAAAAGGAGTTGAGGAGCTATAGAAATAATTTTTACTTAACTTGAATAGTAAATTTAAATACACACACACACACACACACACACACACACACATGCATTCTTTCACAGATGTATTTACCTTTATTTTACCTAAGACCCGATACTCTCTTTCTACATAATATGTACCTTAGATGGACCCAGACCATTCATTCATGCTGTTTTTAAATTATAAACTTCATATTTACAGTAAGAAAATAGAAATCACTCCTCGAAATCACAAACTGAACAGTGACCCACACTTGTTTTAGAAAAGAGAGACTACTTTTCATTTTGTTCTATAGAATTGAGGCTTCATTGAAAACTTCAAAGTTCAAAATGTGTGATTTTACATATAAAATTAAAGTAATAACTTTAATATTTTATAGGCAAAAAGCAACATGCTGTCAAAAAATTTTTAAATGTGATTTCCAAGTAAAAGACAAATACTAACCTAAAATACTATTCTAATATACACCCCTTAGTAAATATTTTTAAGTTTATTCAAATCTGATGAGTGCTTTATGACTTATTTTAATAGCCTCTTTTATAGTTAAAGAGAATGGCTATAGAGTATAGCCTTCCAAACTTAAAAGAAAAATTTTCCACCTGCATGCACATTCAGTCTCTGTGCTTTTTATGACAATGGTGATACTCTGTAGTTGAAAGCAAGGTGATGTTGATATTTCTGGTTGTATCACAAGTTTAAGTTATTCTGGAAACCTGAAGAAGGCTCTGGCAATTCACCTAGGTACCACTCACTTTTCATTGCTTCTAGTGTATTTCATGGCAGGAACTAAATCAAATGGACTGTAGTGACAGAGGATATTGCTTACATCATAAGCAGGATAAAAATAAATCTGCATCTCTAATATGGAGTATATATAAATTTATAGAGTCCATGATCTCCAAGCTTGTTTCACTTGGATTACAGCTCACATTATATTTTTCTGCCAATTTACACCAGATTAGTCACATGCTAATGCCTTTTGTTATATTGCAGAACGCATTTAAAAGTTAACTTTTAACTCATGACACTGTTAGAAAATATTACAGATTTCACACAGCCAACTATTCTATTTAAATATTAGAAGTAGAACAAAGCCGGTCACAGATGTTAAATCAGTCAAATCAACATGATGCTTATTATGTTCAAAAATCTGTTCTAAGTACTTTAAAATTGAATATTTCCACTTTCCAACTGCCCTCATAGGTAGGTGATATAATTATCATCAACCCCATTTTCTATGTGGAATAAGAGGGAGTGATTTGACTGCAGAGACATTAACTTGCTTGTCTAAGTCATGCAGATGGCAAGAAATAGAGATAAGACTTAAACATAGGTAGTCATAAGGAAGAATACAAAGTAGGACCAACAGAGGTTGTGAAAAGATGGTTTCCTTGTCCCTATAAATCTTATGTTTTGTTCCTCCCTCCTCCAAGAACAGAAACTTATCAGGTTGGGCTATGAGCTAGGGTTAGACTCAAGGTACAAGTGTGCAATACATTTCAGGTAGAGCATGGCCCATCAGAGGTGTGACAATCTATTTTAATATTGGTATAAGTAGCACTAATGTGCCCTCAAATAAACTCTGTTATTCATGATGTGGCTCACAGATGGATGTTATTAACCATGTCTGCCATCTCGTAACTTGCTATTTTAGCTAATCATTCTTGCTAAATAGGTACTAACTCTTTAAAATTATTATTTTCATGCCTGCACACTCTAAATTTAGGTGAACTAGGACACAGTAACAATTGTCCTTTCCTAATTATAGTCTGGGTTTGGAACTCAAAGAAGAACAAAAATCAGATATTTAATAAAGTGGTGAGCAAGTTGAGGAAGTGAGAGGTTGTAAGATCTGGGGAATGTTCCATCCCTAAAACAAATTCTAACAGTAAGTCATAAGTAAATAACAGAAAGAATAATAGTATATACTCTTTCATTATATGCTCATTATTTACTCATAAGTAAATAACAAAAGGAGGACTAGTAGATATTTCTTTAATATAAGTTATATACCATAACTTACAATTTATAGTACAATAAATGAATATCTGAAGATTTTGTCTGCCTAATAATGTTCAAAGTGTACATAAGCATATGATATTAATTCTATGTTTTATGCAAATGCATATGGGGGTTGTCTTTGTTTTTGTTTAATTTAATCTCTTAATTAAATATAGACTACTTATAAAGGTATGACATATTGGAAGATGCACATTCAATGGTTCTGGTAATAATTATGAAGAAGCATGCATTGAACCATCTGGATGTTCATAAAGTGATTCAGTGATTAGGTTCCAAGGGGTTCACCTTCCATGGACCTCAGAGTCCTTAAATAGATCTCTTGCATTTAGACATCTGTAATGGAAGACAGAATGGAGATCAGTTCTGCTCTATTTCATTGATTAGAATTTTTCTTACACTCTACCTTGATGCAAGCGTGGGAAATATGGTCTCTGATTTTCCAAAAGTAAAACGTAATGATTTGGTAAAGGCATCACGTGATCTCTACCATATTGTGAGATCCCTATATTGACCAATAATTTGAGTCTTTGTCACCTAAAATTCAAATGATAAATAAAAACTGTCTAGTTCAAGTCTTTTGGTTAAACAGTTTACTAGTTCCTGACCCACAGGATTTTTTCTCATTCTGGATATATCACACACATTATTTCAAGGAATGTTAATGGAGGGAACAACAGAAAGAAACTATCAGCAATCATCCATTTTCATTTGGTGCACTTTTTCTACATGTGAAACAAGTCACAGACTTTTATATTCCTAATTTAACAGTAGAAAATACCTTGCTCTGTGCTCAGGTAGGTTCTGGGTTTCAAAGATGATGAGATGAGAAAAAATAAGTGGTTGGTATCCACACCATTTACTAAATTGACTGCTAGTATTGCAACAAGCAAAGGGATTTTTAAAAGAGCTGTGTCATGTTATGGATTTGGATAAACACCACATAGTACTTTATCATCTAACTATCAGTAATAATAATGGAACATCCAAGTTTTACAGCAAAAACCTTTAGAAATATATACCTTTCATTAGATACATAATGTAAAATCAATTTTAATTTGGTCTTACTCTTGCCCTAAAAGTAACACTGGTGCTCAAAAGTTGAGCTATCTTCTTCCCTTTGAAAAGAAATTAACTTTCAGAGCATGTCTACTAATTCAGCAACCAAACAGTTGTCTGTTGTGGAAAGAGTACTCAAAAGGACCGTAAGGAACTAAGCATATAACTATAATAAATTTAAAGTTTAATACAATTCACATGATTGTTTGAATGTTTAATTATCACAACGGAAGTTTATCAGGTATTTTGAACAATCATTATGTCTGAATTAAGTGAAGATCAAACAGCAATGATTTAGTTTCTGTCTCCAACTAATAAGACTTCCATTGAATTAAATGGAACATAAGGAAATATTAATGTAACTATTAAAGTGAAGAAAAACAAATATAAAGATATCCATAGTCTGAGTGAAAATTGAAGAGCAATATATCAATAGTTGATTGCAAAAAATCTGATGACTCATGAGTTCAATTACTGGCTAGAACAGCATATCTTAATCCCTCCCTGGATTGAGGGTTAAATTTGTAGCCAAATTCTCTCTTCTCTTTCCTTTCAAGAAATATAAAATTAACAACAGAACATATTTTGGCAATTATACTCCCCAAATTGCCAGTCTCTCTACAATTATTTTCGGGTGTTTCACTATGCACAGGCTGTTTTGATTGATCTGACCAGTCAAAGCAGTCCACTGATTGCTCAGAGCACATCCTTGACTACAGTTTTCCTTAGCCTCCTGCTGCTTCTACCATTTAGCTTCAAATACAGAGGAGAGACCGTAGGCAGAAGAAACAATCACAGTCTTACGTGAAATATGTCATTTAATGGCTCATTTCATTGATTTAACAAGAGGAAATATGATTTTCTTTATGTTAAAGTGAAATATTATACCTTCTTCCTGTCAACAAATTGAGTTTACCACAACCAGCATCTGACTAGGGTAAACTTACAGTTTCTGCTCTCTTAATAGTGATCTGAATTATTGCGGGGAGCCAGCCTGACTGCTCAGGCTCCTTCTTGGCCCTGAGAGAGATCAAGAGGTCCCTCTCTGTCCCGCCACCCCTGATTTATTAAAGTACAGGTTGACCTTTCTCACCTCCCTCAAGGAAATTGCTGTTAGCGACCTTTTACCCATTTTCCTGACGAGATTGTCAGGCTCCTGTGTATGGTTTATGTCTAGGTAATCTTTAGATAATCTTTAATTGATTGTAATCATGATAATCTTTTAACTGATTGTAATCTTACTAAGACGCCAGTCCCTTGCTCTGATAGTCTTAAAGAGTTAAGAAAAAATTCCTGAGCGAAGACTGTCTGCGATTCTGCACGTATGCATGTCCTTGATCTAAATTTAGCGAGTCATGTTAGCATATATAAGCATGTTACTCCTCAATAAAGTTGTCGGT